TGTGTCCTACCATGAGGCTATTCTGGGGAGGGTCTCTCTCTGGTTTTAACCAAAAATTCCATCCTGAACATAAGAAACTTTTCCTGATGCTTCCCCCTCCCACCCCCCAAAAAAGGTCAGTTTTGACAAATCACCATTTTCCAGGAAAAAAAATTTTGCTGAAAAATTCCCAACACAGCTCTATACCTCATGTCCTCTAACCCTCCCACCTAGACTCGCCCAGCCATATTCAAAACTTATTTTACTATAAGTCTGTAAATACTCAAGTTCAGCTTATTAAGGCCAAAAATAAATGTGTACAAAAAGGATAAATTTGCATGTGGTATATCAAACATCAATATCTGAACCAATAAAGACAGGTTTCAGAGTAGCAGCCGTGTTAGTCTGTATTCGCAAAAAGAAAAGGAGTACTTGTGGCACCTTAGAGACTAACAAATTTATTTGAGCATAAGCTTTCGTGAGCTACAGCTCACTTCATCGGATGCATTCAGTGGAAAATACAGTGGGGAGATAGCTGTAGCTCACGAAAGCTTATACGCAAATAAATTTGTTAGTCTCTAAGGTGCCACAAGTACTCCTTTTCTTTGAACCAATAAAGTTTGTGAATTACTGCTCTCCCCCCCCACACACACACACAAGCTCCCTGTGTGCCACCGTCCCATCTCCCTCTATTTCAAGGGCACCCTGACGCTCTCCCCCTACCTCCTCTCCCATGCCAAGGTCTCTGTGTCCCCCCTGCCACCCATTCCCAGGGGTTGTGTGTCTCCTTTTTCTCCTCCTTCCAAAATACCTTTCTTACCCCCAGAATGGAAGGGACAGCAGCCAGCTGGTGCCCCCTTCTCCTCCTTTCCCCCCATCATGGAGCAGACTTTGGGGAGGCATCTGTAGGAGGGTGGAAAGAATGAAACCTACTTCACTCTCTTCTCCTTCTGGTTCACCCTGCTGGCTGAGCATCTGCCCCACAGCTGTTAGGCAGATTCCAGCACAAAGAGCAAGGAACAACTTTTTAAAGTGCAAATGGCTTTTCCTGTGCTTACCAAAATCAATAGGCAGCTCTGCCTATTGATGCTTAGAACATTCCCTGAAACTTTAGCAGTTGATTAGATGCAGCGTTTAAAAGGATTACATCCAGACACACAGAAAAATGACATCAAGGTGAGTGCAATGTCCTGCTTTGCTCGGCCAAAAAGGATCTTAAAAAGTGACCTGCAAATATATAGTGTAAATTCCAGCATCTTTAGATCGGTATGAGCTGAAACATCCCCAAAACTAAAAGAAAAATAAAAGCATGGCCAACATTTCCATAGGGTGTCTCAAGTTAGGCAGCTAAATAAACGTGGCCAGATTTTCAGAGGAGCACCCTATTGACTGGAAGTCAATGGGAATTGCTGGTACTCGGCATCTATTAACATCTGATCCCTTAATCAGGATCTGGGCATCCAAGTTTGAAATTTGTGGCATAAGCTTTTGTGTGAGAAAGTGCTGAATGCACCTCTTTGGGCTTGTCTACACTGACACACAGTTTGGCCTATGCAGGTGTGAATAGCAGCATGCACCAGTACTGTGTTATAACTCCCCCATGTGGAAACTGCAGGCACTAACTAAAAGAAAGAGGACTATACTAATGCAAACTAGGTATCTTTTAGTTTGCACCCACAGAATCCACCCCGGAGAGTTACACTGCAGCACTTTGGTGCACACTGCTATTTACACCCCCATAGTCCAAACTCCAGGGTAGTGCAGTCATCGCATCAGTCTGACTATTAGGGAAACTTAGAATGCATTGGTAAAGTTACTGGAATTTGGTACTTTACCTTTGCTAGGACCACTCTAATATTGTGCGTGTCTCTCATTAAAAGAGCAGCATCTGATTAGATTAAAACACTAATATACTGGAAAGTGACAAAAAAGGGTACATCTTAACAATAATGGAGCTTCATATGGGAAACAGAAGTTGATGAATGTTATAGGACAAGTTTTCAAAGAGGCTTTGTCATTTTTTTTTTGCACACAAAGATGATTAATGTACAAATGGCCGACTTCATCTGCAGGTATAGGGCAGCACAAATATTTTGCATACGTGGGCTAAGCTTTTTAAAGGAGCCTACGGAAGCTAGTTGCTGAGCTTCCATTAAATGTCTATCAATTTGGTCACATTAGACTCCTTTAAAAATCCCACAAATATATTCTATCATTTGCACGCATAAGTGACAACATGTGAAAACTGCACATGCAAACAGATACCACATGTTGAATACTTGGCCACATAAATACAGTATACGTATGCAAATACATACACACACAAGTACAACTAAAGGAGTATTTAAACAGTTCCAACTATTTTGAAAAATGTTACCTCAAAGATCTTCCACGTTTTATATACATATATGAGGATAGTGTTGTCAAAGAGAATTTTTAGATGGATTTTACATCTCTACTTTCTATGTAGATGCTATTCCAGTCTCAGTGAAAACATCTCTTTAATTGTTTCAAAGGATGTTCAGGACTCCAATATATTTGATTTTCTGTCAATAGGGGTGGATGAAAATATTACAGTGAGGTTACTGCTAGAACTAAAACAACATATTCCAAATATGAACACAAAGTATATTTTTCCAATATTGCCAAAGGTACACAAAAAAACCCATTTTGTGAAAATAAAAACTAAGTGATGACACCAAATAATCTTTTATAACTTTGATGATGGTTAAATATTTCTGGACTTTAAGACTGAGTATACAATGGTTACCAAAATGCAGTACTATGCAATTACTTTAAGAATACGTCAATAAACATTGAAAGGTTAGATGAAAGAATTTACACAGATATGCTGAACACATGGGAAACCAATAATATAGAGAAACCATAAATAAAGTCTTGCAGGCTTATCCTATTTTGATTTTAAAATTATTTCTATTTGGAGCTGATTAGACAGCTGAGAAGATAGTGACTAGTTCTGCATTTCTAAGTTCTTAGTAAGGGAAACCTCCCATTAACTTCAGGGGGAGATTTTTCCGGAGTAAGATCTGCATGACTGAGTCCTTAAAAGATTTCTGAAGCAAGCAGCCAAAATAAATTCATAACACTATCCCTATATTCAACTTAGAGAGTGACATCTGGTTCCTTACATTCCTATGCTTAGCTCTCAAGTTTGAGTAAAGTATCATATAACATCCGGACAACCCACAAGTTGCCCCACAGAAAAATGGTAATTTAAACATGTCTAGGCACACAGGTTAAACCTATATTTGTTTTGGTAAACAACTAAGGTGAGTGCAACATTCCATTATTGCACTAGAAGATTGTTCTACTGGAAGATTATTATGAACCATATTCAGAGTTTGCTTATATTCGGAGGCTTGAGTCTAATACACTGGGCACAATGTGGTTCCACTACATGAGATGAAGACAAAGACATGAAGAATCTCCAGAAAGGGACTCAAGATGAAATATCTGATGCAAGTCTCCAAAGGCAAATACAAAGGAGGGAAGCAAAGGCATATAATGCACAAACATGCTTAGCACACACAGAGCAAGATTCAGGATGGCCACAACCCCAAAAACAGTGAAGGGCCAAAAGGTCACGTCTGGTAAATTCATGTATGTCCAACAGTAGCCAACAGCAAGCCAGTTCCCAGTATGTAGTTGCATGCTGTGGATGAAGAGAACTCACGGTCATGCTGTTCCACTGCATATTTTAAGACCAACAAAGCCTTTTCATTCTGGCTTTATTCTCTTTGTTAGATCACACTTCATTTTTACATACAGTTTGTGTATTCTAAGAAAGGTATTTTGGTAACTCACTCATTTGCTGTTAAAGTCAGAGTGACACTACTCTAGATTCTTAACTAACTTCTGGCATTTCAGTGCACGAAACCTGAACATCTAGGTGTTTGTAAACATATCTCTTCAAAAGAAGGGAAACCCCATGTGCAAATCTAGTATTTGTGTTCTCTATCAATTATTTCCCTCACTGGATATCTGAGTGCACAAATATTTGATTTGAACATACAGTCACAGTAACTGCATGCCTTAATGAAGTACACAACTGTGCACAAGCCTGAGCTTCTGCCTTTTAGAAAATTAGGCCCTTAATACAGCTCTAAGTTTCTCAGATCTCTTCCATGCCCCAATTCTTTTGTCCCAAAATCAGGATTTAACTGTGGCAGGAATTTTAAAATTTGTGACCATAAACAAATACATTCATTTCCTGTCAGTGTATTAAATATTGTTTATCTATTAGTTTTGTGTACTATATATTGTTTACTTCTATACCATAAAAACACAATAAAATTATTAAATAATCAACTGTTATCCTCAGACAGACAAAGCACAAAAGCAAAACTAGTTTTCTCCAATGCTGTCCAACCATTTTACAGTACTAATCATGGCATCTTGTAATATAAGGGCCAATCCCACAGGCAAAATGTTTACTATTGTAAGAAGTTCTTTTAAAGTCAATGGGAGTATGAATTACACCTGATCAAAATCATTTGTAGGTTCAGGCCCTAACATACAGATAGCGGAACAATAAGTAACACACACAGCACTTAAAAAGCTCACTTTTTTAATAGGAGGGAAGAAGCAAACATGTTTAAAGCTAATGTCCTATACTCTACTTAAATTACACAATATGTAAGGACCCATGTATTGTGCATTTTATCTACTGTCACATGTCATTCATTCATTGCTTCATATACATTTTTACAGGATGCAGACAACCAGATTCTTGGTTGGTGAGCTGCATTATCTTCAATGGAGTTATACTACTTTACAACAGTTTACAACATACTTTGTGTAATTTAAGTAGAGTACAGGATTTTAAAGTGTCAAACCTATGACATACTTTATATATAAAATTTCCTTATTGTTTTTTTAATTTCTTGGCTGGTCAATAGAATTTGTCCTTACAGAACAAAAAAAGGAATATTATAATATTCGTGTCCTTAATAATTTTTGTTTTAACTACTAGTTCCACTTAAAATTAGAACAATTGCTACCTTTTGAGGGGCCAAAATCCTCTGCCTGAACTTTTCAATTGTATCTTGACCTGCAGCAGTCCACGCACTGACAAATGCTTCTGCTTTGTCTTGATCAAGGTGAATGCTCTCCAGCTGCTGTTGCAGAATAGCTGGTTTCAGGTTATGATAGACTGCCTGTATAGCAGAAAAAAAGAGTTAAATCCATTTTGGTACATGCAACTATAGCACTTTATTTAGAAAAGCACTTTTCTAAATCAGGATGCTCTTCTCTATAGAGGTCTAAATGGTTCATTTTTTCAGCCTAAAATAAAGTACTCTATTAATGCAAAACAAAAATGTGTTACATGATTACTATGAGCCTGGGAGCCCCTCAATGCCAGTTGACAAAGAACCCACCATACTGTATCTGACACCAGGCCTGACCCACTCATTACATCCTACACACTGTTGTCATAATATTATCTAAAAGGTGTCATGTAAGATGTCTTATGTAAACTGATGACATGCAGGTACCAAAAATCATTGTGTGGTATATATACATGTTGTGTACAAAGTTGTGTGTATGCTGTATTTGGGAGGCAGTGCATAAATCCAGCTTGTCCTAGACAAAGGTAAATGTGTATTTACCTGTCTGACTGGCTTGCTTCCAGGCAGAGGACAACAGAAGTATATTTACATTAAAGTGTATATTTACAAATATACATTACAAAATGTATATTTACATTTACAATAAAGCCGTCAAGCTAACAAGCAGGGGAGAAGACAGTGTAGTAATCACATATGGGGGACAGAATCTGCACCCCAGGAAGCCTTCCTGGCTCTTGAGGCAGAGAAAACGGACATTGGAAAAATATAAGGAGAGCAAAAAGCCATTGGAGTTATCTATCACTTTGGGGACATAAGGTACAGCACCCTCTGAGCCTGTGAAAATTGGATCGCCTACTCCAGAAGCTAAGGATGTTGGTAACTTGAAGTAAAAAAGAAAACTGCTTAGGCAAAGATTGTAACTTGTTAAAATTAAGTTTTAGTCACTAGAAAACAAGTTTTATTGTGCTTGTAACCAAACCTGTCTCTTTTTCTGTTGTTTAGCATCACTTAAAATTCTGTTCTTTGTTAATAAACTTATTCTTGTTTTACTACAAAACCATCTCATTGCTGTGTATTAAAGTGAAGTGTGAGTCTAAGCTAACCTAACCAGGTGATGCGTTCTGTTTCTTTGGAGACAGAAAACTTAACTGCTATGAGTGTTCAGTGAGAGGGAATGGACACTGCAGGGAGACATCTCTGGGGGAATTCAGGTTCACTGATTGTTACCTGCAAGGCAAGGTTTGGCCTGGCAGAGTCTTGAAGAGTTTGCTGGCTAGGCAGACAGGCTGGTGTGCCAGGCAGCTGACACACAGCTTGGCAGTAGCAAAGCTCTCACTCTTTCTGGGCAGAGGGATAACACAGTAGACCTCAGTTCCGGTTGTCTTGAGTGGAATGTCACAATTACATTTTTTCAAAACTATTATTTTCCACAAGTAGGTATTATTATGCAAAGCAAAAGTTACAATGGCCAACATATCTTTCCATCCATTAAAAATAAGTGTTCTATTCTTTATGGCCTACTATATCACCTTGGCACTTCTTCATAGAAGAAAAAGAAAGTGAAGCCACAAACCGTTTTTAACATTTTCTGTCTCTCTTTCCCAAACTGACCTTTTCCTAAGATTTTATTATTTTTTATAAGAGTAAAGTACAATTCAGCACAGAAGCATTTTGACTGAGTTTATTTACTGACAAAAATATTCACATTTTCTAGAAGAACAATATTAAAAATTTAGATTAGAGATGTAATTTAGCCAAAATGTATGCAAAACAACATTGAACCAAACTGCAGGCCCAAGCCTGCAAATTTTTACTCATAAAAGTAGTCCCACTTAAATGGGATTACTCGTGTGAATAAAGACTGCTTACATAAGTACATAAGAACACAAGAATGGCCACACTGGGTCAGATCAAAGGTTCATCTAGCCCAGTATTCTGTCTTCTGACAGTGGCCAATGCCAAGTGGCATAGAGGGAATGAACAGAACAGGTTATCATCAAGTGATCTGTTCCCTGTCACCTATTCCCAGCTTCTGGCAAACAGAGGCTAGGGACACCATCCCTGCCCATCCTGGCTAATAGCCATTGATGGATCTATCCTCCATGAACTTATCTAGTTCTTTTTTGAACCCTGTTATAGTCTTGGCCTTCACAACATCCTCTGGCAAGGAGTTCCACAGGTTCACTGTGCGTTGTATGAAAAAATACTGTATTTTGTTTGTTTTAAATCTGCTGCCTATTAATTTCATTTGGTGACCCCTAGTTCTTGTGTTATGAGAAGTAGTAAATAACACTTCCTTATTTACTTTCTCCACACCAATCATGATTTTATAGACCTCTATCATATCTCCCATTAGTCGTCTCTTTTCCAAAGTCCCAGTCTTTTTAATCTCTCCTCATACGGAAGCTGTACCATACCCCTAATGATTTTTGTTGCCTTTTCTGAACCTTTTCCAATTCCAAGTGATTTATTTCTATTTAGTTTATCAATTTGTTCCAAAACCTCCTCTAATGACACCTGAATATGGGACAGCTCCTAGGATTTTTCACCTAAAAAGAATGGTTCAGGTTTGGGAATCTCCCTCACATCCTCAGCCGTGAAGACCAATGCAAAGAATTCATTTAGTTTCTCCACAATGGCCTTATCATCCTTGAGTGCTCCTTTAGCATCTGGATCATCCAGTGGCCCCTGTCAAGGTTCCTCCCCCACTCTGAACTCTAGGGTACAGATGTGGGGACCTGCATGCAAACCTCCTAAGCTTACTTTTACCAGTTTAGGTTAAAACTTCCCCAAGGTACAAATTAATTTTATCCTTTGCCCTTGGAATATCCACTGCCACCACCAAACTCTAACTGGGTTTACTGGGAAACGTAGTTTGGACACGTCTTTCCCCCCAAAATCCTCCCAACCCTTGCACCCCACTTCCTGGGAAAGGTTTGGTAAAAATCCTCACCAATTTGCATAGGTGACCACAGACCCAAACCCTTGGATCTGAGAACAATGAAAAAGCATTCAGTTTTCTTACAAGAAGACTTTTAATAGAAATAGAAGTAAAGAAATCACTTCTGTAAAATCAGGATGGCAGATACCTTACAGGGTAACTAGATTCAAAACATAGAGAATCCCTCTAGGCAAAACCTTAAGTTACAAAAAAGACACACAGACAGAAATAGTCATTCTATTCAGCACAATTCTTTTCTCAGCCATTTAAAGAAATCATAATCTAACACATACCAAGCTAGATTACTTACTAAAGTTCTAAGACTCCATTCCTGGTCTATCCCCGGCAAAAGCAGCATATAGACAGACAGAGACCCTTTGTTTCTCTCCCTCCTCCCAGCTTTTGAAAGTATCTTGTCTCCTCATTGGTCACTTTGGTCAGGTGCCAGCAAGGTTACCTTTAGCTTCTTAATCCTTTACAGGTGAGAGGATTTTTCCTCTGGCCAGGAGGGATTTTAAAGGGCTTTACCCTTCCCTTTATATTTATGACAGCCCCACTGGTTGTTTAACAGGCTTCTTACTTCTGACGTACGTAAAAAAATGTTTGCTATTACTTTTTGAGTCCTTGGCTAGCTAGTCTTAAAATTCTTTTTTGGTCTTCCTAATTATATTTTTACACTTCATTTGCCAGAGTTTATGCTCCTTTCTATTTTCCTCACTTGGATTTAACTTCTACTTTTTAAGTAGAGGCTTACATGATTGATATCTTAAATAATAAAGCTATTGCTTTGTATTACTTTGTACAATATTATGAAATATTTATCTAAAACATCATCAGGGAGGAAATGTTTCTCACAGTTTTGCAAGTGTTGTTGTTTAAATATCGTATGCACCATTGCAAAGTATGTCAATGTATTTAGTGGCTTAGATTTTTTGCCACCCACAACAGCAAATGTTGCTGGCGCCGCCACAAGCAGCTGAGTTTCCAAAAAAAAAAAAATAAAATAAAATAAAAAAATAGCTATAAGTGATGTGGCATGCCCCAGGAAGTTGGGGCCCAGGGCCCCTAAGGCTGGCTCTGGTACTTAATGCCAGATTCTGATACTCTTGATACATAGCACCTTACTCCATGAGTTCTCCCATTGACTTCAACAGAAACGGGTTTGTATCTGTGAAGTTTGATTCTGCTCAGTGTGAGAGAGAGGATCACAAGCTGGTGCTCAGAGACATGTAGATAAGCACAGGATACAGACTGAGGGCAAGCTTCTACCCCCCTTTACTCACATTAAGTAGAACCTTGCTCCTCAAGTACAACCCTGACCTCAATGAGACTACTTGCCAAGTAAGGGACTATGGAACATTAGTAAAGGAGGTATACTCAAACCTTGAATAAATAAATAGCATGACTGTGATATCTGTTTTCAGGAAGTGTCTATTTTAACTTGCTCTGTATAATAATTTTTCTACCAAACAAGCATTATGTTTCAAATATTTAACAATTCATACTGATGAAAATGGTACCTGTTCCAAAATAAATGATATAGTTTCAAGAACTAAATGAAGATCTTGCTTCTCCACTGAAAACGCAGCTTGAAGTTTTTCTTCCTCCTCTTCACTGAAACTGCTCTCAGCCTGAAGTACAAAAATGGGTTTATTCCTGGTATTCCATCTGCCATCCAGAAATCATTATCCAGAAGGCAAGTTTAGTTAAAACATTAAAGAGTCAGGGGTTTTGTTTGTTTGTTTTTAAATGGAAGAGGAAAAAGAAACGTTGTCAGAGGAAAAAATATATCAGGATACCAAGGGCCTGACCAAAACCCCACTGACTTCAGTGAGCCTCTCCATTGCTTTTAATGGCCTTATGATCAGGCCTTTATGAAATATGCATACAAGTGCACACTTCTTCTCTCTGTATATAAAAAACATGTTTGAAATTACTATGTAAAAAACTCATCTTTTGACCACATTTGATAATATGCATTATGTGGAAAAAGTTACATATTTATACTTGACAATACAAACCCGTGACAACAGTGTAATGCACACTGGCTAGACTAGAAATAAAAGCACCAAAGGCAAAGTTGAAGTGCATATATATATATGCTTCTCTTGGTTTACTATTGACAGTCCTCTGGTCTGAACACAGTCTATTTTCTTCTAAAAGACACAATAATAAAAGTCTATTTGGGGAAATTTAGAAAACCACATACAAAAAGTCAAAAATCTACAACATGTCGTATTAAAAGATCATTGAATGGAAAATCTTACTGAACTAATGTACTGAATGTTTAAACATAATGCAAATATTGTCATCTTTTAAAACAAAATATTCTATGTTCTAGACTTCAAACAACACAGTCAGGCCAATTAGCAATGCTGTAAGTGCACAGCTACTCAAAACAAGCAATTGGGCTATCAGACCAAAGATGATGTAATTACAAGGAGACCTAGATGGTCAAAACATTTGAATCTCTAACAAGAATGCAAAAATGAAATTGTTAGTTTAATCTTTGTATGCAGTGTTGTTGTAGCCACACTGGTCCCAGGATATTATAGAGACAAGGTGGGTGAGATAATACCTTGCATTGAACCAACTTCTGTCGGTGAGATAGACAAGCTTTCAAGTTTACACAGAACTCTTCTTCAGTCCTGAACAAGAGCTCTGTGTAAGCTTGTCTCTGTTTAATTTTTAGCTTTTAGAAGGAAATATGCAACTTTAAGTATCTTTGCTAATATAAGGAAGTTTATTTAAAATTTCCAACAATTCCACGCTCCCTACAGTTAGATAACTCATGGCTCATGAAACTGGTAATATAATACAGAGTCATCAACCCAACTCAGTCATGCAAATCCAGTGCAGAACAATAGTCACCAAAAATTATTATGCTATATAATGGTCATTTAGTAGTTTAGATGACATTAAGTTAATGGCTCTTTCCACCTGCTAGTGGGCAAATATCTTCATTCATTCATAAATAAATCACAGTTACTATTACCAGACCCTTGTTAGTAATTTCAGCAGAAAAATCAATAATTGAATTAAAGCAATGAAACAACCCTCACATTCCTGGTCCCACTAGAGCACAGTTGGAACAATAAAGGTAAATTTGTATTTCTTTTTTTCGTCCATGCTGCACCTGTCCTATGTCTAGACTTCAATCAATTTGGCACCTTCTATCATTCTAAATTCTTTTTAAAAAATACATACAAGTTTGCATCTATCAAACATTGATACAATGACTATGGGAAGTTGGAAACAAATGAACAAATATGTACCCATGCCTCTGGAGGGCAAGACCAAGTTTCCGTTACTATTGTTCTCACTATTATATATTGTGCTTTTCTGTTCTCTTACAACAAAAATTAATAAAAGACTTGCATCTAATCCAATTAATCTAGCTACTAGTCTTCCTTTTTCATTGTATATAGGGCACAAATGCAGATTGTGCATAGGCTTGATTCTATTCAATCTGACCCATCTAGATTCATCCATTCCTAGCATGCACACAGAGGCACATTTTTTGACTAAATATTGTACAAAACCTAACTTAGGATCAAGAGAAATATTTCATAAAGCCAAAGGAAAACTTCCAGCAAAAACAGTGTTTGTTTAGACTTAAACATTTCCTCTAGTTTTCCACTGGAGCACTTTTCTGATTCATTGGTGCCAGAAAGTCAATCTAACTCAGATATAAACAAAAGTGACTACTAATTTTCATTGCCCAAACTGCAAAAAATGAAATATGGGCAGCCAGCATAAATTATTTATGGTGAATTAATTAATTATAGGTTTTATTCTCACTTCTAACTCCGCAAGGGTATAAGAGGGGAGAACCAGCTCCATCCTTCCATACTATTTGCCACTCAGAACAAGATATACTTCTCTGGAGAAAGAAGGGTGTACTTTTTCTGTAATTTGAAATGATGTGTATGTTAAACATGCAAGACAAAACCTAAAGAAAACAGTATCTTATGACAGGATTTTAAAAAGCATAAAATACACAGTAACTGGTATGACATATTCATTACAGAGTTTAAAAATGTATTAAAAGGTGAGAGCTAAGAAGTTATTGTCATACTATACAAACCTTTAGATGAAGCTTTTGAAGGATGCGGGAGAGCAATCGAGGAAATTTGCCTGTGTCTATCATGTTAATGAGCAACACTGCTTTTTTTATGCTAAATTAAATGAAAGAGATCAGGTAAGTTTCCTAACATAAACATATTGCCTTTAAACAATGTAGTGCAAATATTTTTGTTTTCCAGTGTTTCACAAACCAAGCACACTAGCGCTACTGGCTTCTAATCTAAATGTTTGATATTTTTATAATTTGTGTTTAAAGTTATAAAAATTCAAGGTGAGAGTAAGGATGAAAATAGATACAGTCCCACCCTCCAATTAAACCAAGTGGAGCGGACACCCTGGGTGCCTCAGCCCAGCCCACTGTATCATACTGACATGTTTCAGAGTAACAGCCCTGTTAGTCTGAATTCGCAAAAAGAAAAGGAGTACTTGTGGCACCTTACAGACTAACCCATTTATTTGAGCATAAGCTTTCGTGAGCTACAGCTCACTTCATCGGATGCATACTGTCACGAAAGCTTATGCTCAAATATACTGACATGGTCACACTGCCCCATTAGTGGGGAAACCCACATGTTAGAAACCTCCAGAGGCGCAGTATTGACCCACTGGGGACACAGGCCCAGTGCCCCCGGCGCGCTGCGGAGTTGGGGGGGGGGTCCCAGCCCGGGTGCCCCCGGCGCGCTGCGGAGTTGGGGGGGGGGTCCCAGCCCGGGTGCCCCCGGCGCGCTGCGGAGTTGGGGGGGGGGGGGTCCCAGCCCGGGTGCCCCCGGCGCGCTGCGGAGTTGGGGGGGGGTCCCAGCCCGGGTGCCCCCGGCGCGCTGCGGAGTTGGGGGGGGGGGTCCCAGCCCGGGTGCCCCCGGCGCGCTGCGGAGTTGGGGGGGGGGGTCCCAGCCCGGGTGCCCCCGGCGCGCTGCGGAGTTGGGGGGGGGTCCCAGCCCGGGTGCCCCCGGCGCGCTGCGGAGTTGGGGGGGGTCCCAGCCCGGGTGCCCCCGGCGCGCTGCGGAGTTGGGGGGGGGTCCCAGCCCGGGTGCCCCCGGCGCGCTGCGGAGTTGGGGGGGGGGTCCCAGCCCGGGTGCCCCCGGCGCGCTGCGGAGTTGGGGGGGTCCCAGCCCGGGTGTCAGGCTGGGGCGAGCCGGTGACGCAGGCGCTCCCGGCTCCACCCACCCCGCCGGGCCTGGGCTCCGCAGGCGCCGCTCTGCCGGGCAGTCCGTACCTGCCGCTCTCGGGGATGATGGGCGCTGCCATCCTGGCCGCCGCTGCCTGGTTCCGCCGCCAGCTCCCGGCAAAAGAGGGGGTAAGCGGGGCGGACGGGAGCCCGGCAGGCTCAGCCGGCCCCGCCCCCAGTGCCGGGCGTTGCTATGGGCGGCCCTTGCTGGCCGGCCCCCTCGCTCGCTGCCTCGCGGCCCCACCTGTCCGCCCCTAGGGGCGCTGGGCCTGGCGGCCTGGAGTGGAAGCGCGGGGGCGAGTGGGCACGGAGCAGGGCCCTGGCCCAGCCCAGCCTCGCCCCGGCGTGGGGAGAACGGGGCCTGCAGCGGGTTTGCCCGCCGAGGGGCCCGCGCGGGGGTCTCCTCCTCCAACAGGCGGGTCTGGGAGCTCAGCGTCCTGCGCGCGTGGTGGGTGCTGGATCTCGGAGTCCGCACCGAAAGCCGGCAGTCCGGCGTCGCAGAGCCAGTGCGATGTGTGAGGGAACAGCTGTTACAGAACCTGAGAGCAGAAGGAAATCTGGTATTTGTACAGCTCCAGGCTGTTCTCAAGTCTTGACACCAGCCCCGCCATTGAAGGGGAAACTGACTATCAGCCAGAGGGAACAGAGTAACAGCCGCGTTAGTCTGTATCCGCAAAAAGAAAAGGAGTACTTGTGGCACCTTAGCGACTAACCAATTTATTTGAGCATAAGCTTTCCTGAGCTACAGCTCACTTCATCGGATGCATCCAATGAAGTGGAAAGCTTATGCTCAAATAAATTGGTTAGTCTCTAAGGTGCCACAAGTACTCCTTTTCTTTTAACCAGAGGGAAATTGACTCCAGAGGTTTTCATTGTCCAGTCTGGGGAAAATGAAAACACAGCCCTGCATTTTAAAAGGCAATTGCATTCTAAAAATTCTTTACATTGATATCATCTAAGGCCTTGTTTAGATTAGGATTTAAAGGTGTGTTGCTAGAACATGTTAGTTGACACGTTCTAATTAAACACACTTGAAAAGGCTAGACCCCCTCTTGACTTTATCTCAACCAGTTTCATGTTCAGCACACGCTATCTTGTCTATGCTTAAGTTTTCAAATGTGTTAAACTAAAACATTTTAACACACCTTTTTATTCTAGTCTAGATACAATCAAATTCACTACCCCCATGTGGGTGTGAGGCAGTGTCTGTCGTCATACTTAATTTTTTTTTAAGTGCTCCCTAGAAGGCAACTTTGAGGACATAAGAGGAGAGAAAGAGAAGATCATTCTCTTCTCCGTTGGGAACGACAATCCTGTCCCAACTTCATCTCTTCACTGTTCACATCTGAAGCATGCTCAACTATTGATATTTGAGGCTGGTGTGGAACTTTCTGTGTGATGGCTGCTCAGGCCCTCCAACTCCCATTGATCACATCAGTTCCACACCATTTTCAGACAGCACCTTTCTCCAGAGCTCAAGGCAGTAGGGAGATCAGCGTCAATGAATCTAGTACTTTCCCCCCTACGATCTCCTTTGCATCACCCCTCCCAACAGGAGCAATTTCAATACCTTTCATTAGCAACAAGCCCTGTAGCACTGCTTAACACAGGGGAGGGCAAACTATGGTCCGTGGGCCGGATCTGTCCCGTTGGGGCTTACAATCCAGCCCGTGGGATTGGTTGTGCAGGGCTAAGGCAGGCTCCCTGGCCCCACGTCGCTCCCAGAAGTGGCCAGCACCATATCCCTAAGGCCCCTGGGGGGGGCAGAGGATCCCATGCGCAGCACTCGCCTGCAGGCACCACCCACTTCAGCTCCCATTGGCCGGGAAGAGGCACCATGGCCAATGGGAACTTCGGCAGTGGTACCCACAGGTGAGGGCAGCGTGCAGCAGAGCTGCCTTCCCCACCCCACCGAGCCACTGCCGGACATGCTGGCCACTTCTAGGAGCAGCGTGGGGCCAGGGCAGCAGGGAGCCTGCTTTAGCTCTGCTGCCACCCCAGAGCCTGCTCCCTGCACTCCAAACCCTAACCCCCTGCCCTGAGCCCCCTCCTGCACTCTGCATCCCCTCCTGCACCCCAACCCCTTGCCCTGAGTCCCTTCCTGCACACCACACCCCCTCCCACACCTCTTGCCCCAGCCCTACATTCATGGCCCTGCATACAATTTCCCCACCCCTGACCTAACTACCATTTTACCCCCCACCCAGAAGCACACATGCAACCATTGAAGCAATACTTCCCAACACACTAGCACTAAATGGATGTATTTTTATTTTAGATTTATAAAATAGGCATTTGTAAAGCCTGGGTGCATTTATTATAATAAAGAAATGAAAAATCTGGAAAGAACAGGTAAATGTGGTTGAAAGGTTTGTGAGATATTACCAGAAAGGACTTGCCAGCAGATTGCTGAGACAGTGATTTCAGAAAGAAGACTGAAGTTGTTTGGATATGCTGTATGGATGTCAAGAAACTGTACTACTAGACAAGCCCCTGATTGGACGCCCCTTGTGGGAGGCAAAAAAGAGGAGGACAACACATGACACATAAGAAAACAATTGAGAAAGATACTGCTGTCATGGAAACAGACTATAACAGAGCAAAGAACATTGAATTAGACAAATGGAGGTGGAAAGACTGGGTTGCCTTGTGTCAGAAGGCACAAGAGCATCTAATATATAATAACAAAGGATTATGGAACGGGGGTCATGGCAAGAAACCATGGCAGGTGCTGGAATCAGATGGAGAAAGGTTGAGAATCCTTGATCGAAGGAATTATTAATAATGTATGTAAAGAAACGTGTTAAACATATAGAGTGAAATCCTAGTCATGTTGAAGTAAACAGGAATTTTGTCATTGACTTCAGTGGGGCCAGGATTTTATCCATTATTTTTTAAAGGATAGTGGTTATTTAAGTAAATCCTTTGTTCAGAACAGAATTCAGTATATACTGCACCCCAGAAAAAAAAGTCTGAGTAAAACCACTGACTTTACTCCAACAGAGGAATTGAATTCTAAAGTGGAGGTCTCCAGAGTGAGGGAATAACAGAATTCCCACCAAATATATTAGCAGGATTTAAATCCACAATCTCTTTTATGAAAGTCAACTATTTTTTCAAGCTATCCTATAAAAGATAATTAAATACAAATGTTGCGTTTATTTTTACACATTTTCATGCAACCACCAGAAGACATACAACCCATGAATAGAGTAAAAGCAAATTAAAGTTGGCCAAAAAGTTAAGATTTCACACTAGGGTAAAAGAATTTTAACAGTGTATAGCCTGATGCTTGGGAAGCTCTACATGCCTGGAGAATCTCTCAAAAATCAGCCCTTTAAAAGGACTGGAAATCAGATAATTTTTTTAAAAAGGATTTCAATCTAGTTCAGGTATTGCATATGCCCCACAATATCCCGGCCAGTTCTGGGTTTACAGTTATATTTTCCTATGTTTAAAATGTTTTTATCTCACCTACTACTGTATGAAAGACCAACAGAAATAACAAAGGAAACTGATTAGAAGGAGTAAGCGGTGAAACTGTACACAAAGGGCTGTCAAATGCACAAAGTAAAACTGAAAAGAGAAAAAACATCTATTTTTTCCTCATGTCTTTCATTTATATTCATTTTAGGTGTTTCTTGTAACAATAATAGGTTAAAAAGTTCAGACATAAGTGGAATTTTTTAAATGTACAGTGTCCTTTGAATATGGGGGTTGAAAAACATGATAAAAAATTGCACCCCTATTCAAGTGATTTATTCATGCAGTGTGATTAACAGATCTTTTCAAAACGGTCCAAAGGTATGTTCCACCATTTAATAGTATATCAATACCATAAATTGCCCAGCTTTGTTGCTCTAGACATACTGCTGTAGACCTTGAAGTGAATGGGCTGTGGTGAGGTGCTTTAATCCATCTACAGAAATCTTTTGCAGGATCAGGGTCCTAAGCATTATGGCTGAGATTTTAGGGAATTTAGCTGAATTTAACTAATGAACACTGGGCTTCTAAATCCCTTGAACAGCTTTTTAAATCTCAGTCTCCATGACCATCTATGCCTTACCCTTCTCAGGTGTAGAATCATATATTCTGTTCTATTGTAGGCTGTGATGCACAAGTACCAATAGACCCTTAAATACTGTTTTCATATCATTTGCACAGAAATGTTTTACAGCCTGTTCTCATCACTCAACTTTTCAGTTAGGATTCATGCAGGAATTTCCTTTGTGATTTTTTATTTTTAAAATACTCCTACAGGAGACAGAAGAAATATGAATAACTAAAGAATGCTTTGAAAATGTCCATATTCATCCCTATTTCCAACTCCAAAGTATATTTTGGATCTGCCCCTCCCACAATTTGTTCTTCTCATTGTCATTCTGTACTCCTTCTCTTTTCCTACCCCCTCATTTATGTTTCATCACTTGCCCTCTTCTGGCATTTGTCCTTATTTCTGAAGCACACTCTTGTATCCCTATCTTGAACACACTATGTGTCTCTATAATTCCGAATGTACACCCATGAATTTATTGAACTACTTAAAAATTGTTTTCAGTATGCTGTTTGTACAATGCACCTGGCCCTAAAAGTTGACTGTGTAATCATCCTGCTACTAAATAAAAATAATGTTTCACATGAACTTTCTCTTACTGCAACTATTTATGTAGCAAATGGTTTATGCAAAAGCATCTAGCAAACTATAAAGTTGTGAAGCAAGAGATGGGACTGAAAATAACTACTAGGATTACTATGTCGTTATGGAACACATCCAGCCTTATATATTTGGAGTTCAAAATCTAACTGAAAAAAAAACCCTCTAGTAAAATATATTTTAAATATATGCTCATTTTGGTTGTGTACATCATAAACAAGCATTGCCATTGTTGGTTTCTGTTGATGAAATATATATTAGGTATATTTTTATGGGCTAGATTCTACTACCCTTATGCTGAGTTATACCTTTCTCTTTGAATAGTTCCACTCAACTCAATGAGACTACTTACAGAGTAAGATACTACGCACTCAACATGTACAAGGGTGCTAGAACGTGGCCTTAGGTAAATAATCACTGTGGATTTCTAGGACTACGTTGTGCATCTTTTACTCATGCAGGTGCGCACTTACTCACATGAGTAGTCAGTGCTTCACAATGTAAGGGTTACATAATCTAACTTCTATAATCAAGAGCAGTATCTGCAGACAATAATTTGTTCATAATGTGAACCTACATGTAAGACATGATCTTATGAGGGACCAAGGTCCATACACTCCCACTTGAATAGAGATGGAGGGAGCTCAGTACCATACAGGATCTGGCCCTAAGAGAACAATAAAATTACTGGTTTCAGAGTAGCAGCCGTGTTAGTCTGTATTCGCAAAAAGAAAAGGAGTACT